TTCAGGGAACATGTTAGGATAAAAGCAAGATCTGAAAAGCTTTAGTAGGGATGCCCCATCTATTTCATATTAGATCGTTAAACAAGAGAATTCAAATGTCAAAGCATAATATATTCACTTCGATTTGCAATGACTGAATTAGAGATTGGATGAGTGAGTTTTGCGTTTGTTTGCCTCCAAGATGAAAGGTGACTAATTGAACAACTGTGTCCAATAGTAGCAATAAGTTAAACACTTTGGTGGATCTAAAGTGACTCAGATAATTGTATGACACTGACAAGGACGTGACAAGTTACAAAGTGACAAGATCTGTGATCCTGGACTGGGACCCTAAGCTGTCTGGAGTTACAGGTGTATATCATCATCCGTGTTTCCCAAGTCTCAGCAGCAGAAACCTGTATGCAACATTTGCTTAAGATACAGTTTAACAAAATTGTTTTACATTTTTAAACATATCCTCACTGCTACTGGGTACCTTACACCATAACATTGCTTAAGTCCAGATAACTGGATAGTGAGTGTGTCACACTATGAATAACTGGTAGCAAGGAAGCATTTTCTTCCCTTTGTACTGAAATAGAGTCTCTCTCTCTTTCTCTCTCTGTTTCTCTTTTTGTTAGTGGAAATAGTAACTGTCCTGTCTTTAAACAACTAGTGAGTTTTCCATTCTTTCCCGGGTTCTTGTGCGTAAGGACATTTTAAAGATTAAAAAGGAAAGGGGAACTTTAATTTATATTATGGTCTTATCCACAAGATACACCACGAGGCGTACCATTTCAAATCAGATCACTTCAAATTGCCACAGTGATGCCAGGTGTTAGAAGACTGTGCCTGGAGAACTCCTACCTAGTCACGAGCCAAAAGAGGTTTCCCTGGAAAAGTTAATGTTGGACCATGTGCTGAAGATATAACTGAAGGACAGACTGGCCAGAAAAATGGGAAATCGTGAACCACTAACAGGGCTTCTGGATAGCTCTAGATGAAAGGGAAGCTAGTAAGGAAAAGAAAGTGTGTGGAATCTGCCTTCACTTAGAACATACACTGAAGGAGTTTGAAAGCTGAAAGGTTTTATGTTGCAGCATCTGGTGGACCATTTAACCTATTTTGATATTTTCCCTAAAATAACATTATATAATGTTGAGTTCTGGGCCATAATATATTTAGTTTTAACTTGAATGAAATGATTAATCATTTCAACAATATTTTATTAATTCTTTGAGTCTTTCACACAGTGTATTTTGAGCATATTCATCTCACCTCCGTGAGTATAGGCAGCTTCACTCAGGAGGAGGCACAAAAGTATTGCCATTTACTTGACCAGTGTGATTGAAAGAGGCTGGGCTTGGCCTGGGACTAAGTAACAAGTGATTTTTTATTTTGGACTGCTTTGAAATTACAAGTGCGGGTATTGCCTGGGCAGTGGAACTCCTAGAAAACTGGTAGAAAAAAACTAATGTGCCAGTCATTGACACTCATGTGACAGCTGTCATGTCACTAAGTGACAGAAACAAACAGCTACGAACTTTATTGAACCTATAGTGTTTAATATTAAAGGAAATTTTTAGAATCGGGTGGTCTTCTCTGGCTGCCTCCTCTTCCAGGGGACTATTTCAGTTAGCAGCTGCATCTGAGTGGTCCTTGGGCTACAGTCCAAGGATAATGGCTCAGGGTTTGCCTCTCAGAAATGTTGTTGCGTGTCATCTTCGGACTGCCTTCATCCTCAGTCCGAGCAGTTACCGGAGATCATTGATAAACTCATGGTTGTGCCCTTAGCATGATGGCATATCTGTAGAATAAGCTACCTTGACATTCCGGTACTAACATTCGTATCTCACACTTAGTAACACATCAGATGTTGGAAATAGGTAAGGTCCTAAAAGGTTGAATTTTTCAGCACGGAAGACCAATGTTAAACATGTCATTTAGCCAGGCAAATGAAGAGTAAAACAGATTTGAGAAGCCCATTTCCCAGGTCCACACACCAGCAGCTAATCCACCCTTCCCATGGCAGGTGAGTTCTTCACAGGCCACAAACAACAGGACCAGGAAAGTTCACACTGCATTCTCTTGTTCCCTTTGTTTTTAATGAGGAAATTTTATGCTCAATAAATCCTTGCCTAGTCCACCCAAAATTACTTTCTTCTCAAGACAATTCTAAATAAACTTATTAAAAATGTTTTCCTGCATTTCGGAGCTAATTATACTTTCATGAATGCGTCATTTCAAATAAAACACTTGAGCTGCTTTGAGTAATGTTATTAATAGGTTATGTGTCTGACAAATTTCTCTTCATTAGTGTTCGGTGTTTAAAAGTAATAAAATAAAAAAGGATTTAGGCCAATCCTGAAGTATTGGTTGGGTGTGATAATGCTTATTTGTGGAAAATGGGAGCCCCATAAAGGATCTAACTGTGAGAAGTTGAGTTAAAGGTGTGCTTTGTGGATTTTTCTAAGAGTGAGAGGTCACACGAAGTCACGGCATCTGGGTTGGAAGCATGCTAGGCAAGAGATGGCAGGTGGGAAGACCAGGGTTCACAGAAACCCAACAGTATTCTCTGAGAAACCAGCTCTTCTTGGAAGATGTAGGTTTGGAAAATGTAAGTTAATCAATACTTTCCCAAATGGGAAGTGAAATCAATGGGATGCAATGTACAAGATTCCTACAAGAAGTCATGCTCTTCCGAACTCCTAGAATAACTTTAGACAGGGAGAAGAGGGGAAAGTAGATTTTCAGAATGTTAAACATTGACAGATATGTTAATGTCTGTCTAGGAAATTATCCATAAACTGGGAACTGTGGGTCACCTAGGACTGGGTATGAGAATATTTATCTGTCTGTCTGTCTGTCTGTTTAGCTAGCTGTCTGTCTATCTATCTATCTATCTATCTATCTATCTATCTATCTATCTATCTATCTATGTATCTATCTATCTGTGTATCTACCTATGCATCTATTTATCTCTCTACCTCTATCTCTACCTCTATCTCTTTCTCTCCTTTCCTTCTTTCTATTTTTATTTTGTTTTAGTCTATATAGTTTTTCTTTAAAATTTTTATTACAATTTTACTTACTTTTACTCAGTTTTTTGCCTTTACATGTGGGCCCAATGCAAGTCAGCACGTGTATATGGATGACATGGGACAACTTTGTGGGAGTCAGCTCTCTCCTTTTACGACATGTGTCACAGGTAGAGATTGCAGCTGAGACATTTTGCTGGGAGCAAGGTCTACTCTCTGTACTAACGAACTAGTAAAAGATTAGTATTTACATGTGTTAATCTCTTCCTGTCTCTTCTTTCACGCTGCCTGCTCATAAACCTATTAGTTAAATATCTTTTTATCTACCAGTATTCATTCTGGAATGAGACAGTTGTATCTGCTTTCTGTATCAGTGATAGTTTTAAGCCCTTGCTATATATGGGTGATGATGAAAGTCCTGAAGAATACTTGCTGTGTCCTGTGCAACTGAGAAAAAAAACAAAAGTACAATCTAGAATCCTCTTCCTCAAGGACCAACGAGAAATCTTACTCCTCTGCTTCTCAGTCACCCCTGCCTTCTCATTGTCCGTTCATCCCTTCCCACAAATTAACTGCCACTGTGTTGATTGTTATATATGTCATTAGTAATTTTTTTTTAAATAAGTGAGTCCACAAACATAGCTCTGAGCTCTGCCTTTGTGGCTGTTTACATGCCATTGTTCCTCTGGTGTCAATCCTTTCTGCTTAATTCCTTTGTTCTCATGAAATACATAGTGGTGTTGTCACAAAAAACAAACAAACAAAAAACCACCTCAGGATGGGGAAACTAGAAAGGGTTTTCTGTTTTTTCTGTTACATACAGTTTGTAAGGCTGATGCAAGAAATTGTCCATCCGCTTTCTTGGTGTTCCATTTAGTCTTCATTAAAGGCAACATCAATGGCAACAATATGAGGCAGGAAAGGACCACATGATGGCACAGCAAGATGTTTGTGCATGCAGGGGGCGGGGTTACAAAGCCAAGTTCATCATTTCAAACCAACTTTGTCTTGTGGGAACCAGTCAGGTTCTAGAAGAGTTCCATTATTTCTTTCTGAGGTTATGCTTCCAATACCCCTGTACCACATCTCCAAGACCATCAACTCCCTGTCATTGCTATAAAAAGACCAAACCGGAGCTGGAGAGATGGCTCAACTATGAAAGGCTAGGCTCACAAACAAAAACATAATGAATCAAACTGATAACCCTGGAACACTTAAGGACCCATTTAGGCCAGGTTCAAACCATAGCTGGGGCAGAGGACAAAAAACTCAAGAGAGTGCACAATCACCCACAGAGCTGTGCCTGGAAAAACGATATCACCTGTGCTGACATACATAAAAATCAGCAAACGTTTTTATCAGCAAATCTTGAAATAACCTTCACGGGTATTAAGATAATTTCCAGCATGCACATAAGTGTGTTATAAACACATATATAGACACATATAAATCAGCTTTTGTTTAACTCCAGGGAGTGCCTTCTGATTCTGAAATGTTCATGTGTAAGCTTAGCTGCCACTTTCAATTTGTGGATGTTATAATGCTATTTTTAGAATCATTATTGAATAATACTTAATAAGGTAAGATGAGCATTTAAAATAGGAATTCGTTATCACTTCTGATTGACAGACACTATTCTGAAGATTTCAGTGTAGGACTAAACACTCTTTAAAACAATTTATATTTTTAAAATATATTTTTTCTGTACTTTATGTTATTGTTACACTAATCAAAAATACTGCTAAGTAGTTCTATGATAATGGAGTTTGTATATATTATCTAATTTTGGTGTTAATATTATATTCAAATTATAGAATCTGATGTGTCCCCTTTTCAAAGATCATTATGTAATTCTTCTATTACTGTATAATGACTTTCATGTATCTATAAATCTCTTGCTAAATATATACATGTATCCTTTCTTCCTTTCTTTCTTCTGTTTTCTGATCTGCTCCCACTGGTGGTTCTGTACTTTGACTCCAGACTGGCAATATGAGGGTAAGATGACTAAAATATTCCCTAGCACCTCTCCAGTATCCCTTGTTTGTCCATTTTACTTTATTGCTCTTAGAGCATTATTAAAATTCTGCTCACTGTCTTTAATTATGCCCTTTATTACAATTAATTTCCAATTATGTTTGTTTCTGTTGCGGAGTTTTCTCATCGTTTATCCTGTTAATCATCCCTCTATTTTATTTCTCTGCTTTAAATTAGCATTTCATTATTTCTGCCCAGAACCCATCTTCTCTGGTTTCACAGTAAGGTTTGAGCAGTGTTTGACTATCCTGTCATAGAAACATGTCGCCTGAGAAAATGTTTTCTTTCAATAGTAAAACCCTTAAAAATGTACATTAATTTTATAGTAAGATTTTATGATCAGTGTATGTGTGAGTCTAGTTTTGGGTATGTTCTCTTACATTTGTTAATTATAGTCTCTCCTTTTCTTTTCTCTAGATTGCAAACTAGCCAGAGGAGGACCACCAGCTACCATCGTGGCCATTGACGAAGAGAGTCGGAATGGTGAGCGAGTTCTGTGTTTACCAGTTCTTTCTATAATAAGTGTTTTTTTTTTTTTAATTTTAGCATTTGGTTTGATATTAGCAGAGACTCTACATAAAAGTCTTTTCTTTTCAAAGTCCACAAATGATTCATCTTTAATTTTCTGTCCAAGACTTTATAATAGATTGCTCCTAGAAATGCTTTATTGGGGTTGTGTCATGAAAGACTCTTTCGGTGGATATAAGTCTTCACCTCTGTATGAGTAGGGAATGATCTGAGTTATCGCAAGCATGAATCATATATGTTCTGGGATGTTTCTGTAAGTAGGTTGAGCTGACAGTCACGCACAGAATCACCTAGCTGAAGTGAAATGGGTTCCTCACAAGAAAGGGACCATACTGGGAATCTGATAAAGATTAAGGCTTAAAACTGGTGTGACACAGCGGTTGAGCGTGGCTCACAGGTCGTCTTCATGGACTTCAAAGACAGCATGCAGCTCCAGCTGACAGCGGGGAAGAAGCCTGAACTCTCACTCCATTCATCCTGTCTGCGGTAATTAGATGTAATATCCAACTATACTGGGTTGTATTTAAAAAAAAAAAATTACTTTCTTAAAATCAAAAATATATGAGATTTTGTTCTGGAACTTCATGTGCTTAAACTTTAAAATAGCCATAAAGCGCCCTCCTCTGTTGGGTCTTATGAAGACGGTGACGTTCGGGGCCAGCCTGTGCAAGAGCGCTCTAGGCATCTTCTCCACTGTGCATCTACCTGACGCTACCGGGCTGTTGCTAGTTTACTTCCTGTGATAAGGGAGTTTTGTTCCGCAATTACACTTTGAGGAAAGGGATTATGTGACCTACCAAAGAACTGCTTTTGGGTCCTCCCCTGTAATCCTACTTAGACCTACACTGAGAAAAGTAACAAGCATTTTAACAAGATAACATTATGACAACGACCAAGAATTATTCGTGGCTTTATTTTGATGGTTTCTCCTTTTACTCACTTGAGAAAGGACTGTAAAGTCCCACGTCCATCCATGCTCTTTATAAGCAGCCAAAGTGCCCACAGTGTTGCTAGCCTCCATTAAAAAAAAAAAAAAATTCAGAACAAACACTACTTCTTAAAGTATTAGGCAATTATGAAAATGTATTTTTATTATTTAAAAGTTAATTTCATCTACAATGAAAACATACGGAGTGAATAGTTTTGACCAGCTCAAACATGTTCGAACTAAATTGTAATTCTAGACAAGAGAATAAAATACATTAAAGTGCTACACTGGGGAAAGACTCTCTTTTTCACAGGCAAATTTATGCTTTACTCATAATTAACTATCTTTATTCAGGACAAACCTGTATTTCTTTAAGATCCAAGTCTGACTTTTTAGGCAGAGGCGTAAAGCCAACGAGCGTGCCAGGATGTGTGTGCGAGCCCTTTCCTTATTTTTAGCCAATTTATTTGTGTTTAAAACTGAGCTGAAATAAAATCGTTACTTTTACTAAAGGAAGCCATGTTAGCATGTGACTCTGTGGGGCTTGTGGATCTCGCTACAGCACTGGTGTCTGTCTCCTCTAGTGCTCACCTGGCCCCTCCTTTCTAAAGGGTGCAGGAAGACATTGTCAAGGCTGCAGGGGCTTATGAAGAGAGCCTAGATTTGCACAAAATGTCGTGCTTCTTTCTTGACACATTTTACAAAAACCGCCAACTCCACAGAAAGCTGCCAAAGCCAGTTGAGTATCAACACTTAATGTAAATATCAACCTACAATAAAGGTTTTTCATTTTCTCTTTTCATTTTACATGAAATTTCTAAAATTATGGAGATCAGACGGACCTCTGCCAGGTACTGTAGAGTGTACACAGTTGCCCTCCCTGTGAGAATTGGGAATAGCTCAGGACAACGGCATTCGTAATCTAGGGAACCCCAAAAAGCTTCCCATTAAACCAGGTATTTCCAATCCTGATACTAAACAGTGTGTTAATTTCTCCTTTTTCTGCCCATTTTCTTTTTTCTTTTTCTTAATTACAGTTTATTCACTTTGTGTCCCAGCTGTAGCCCATTCCCCATCCCCTCCCAATCCCACTTTCCCTCCCTCTTCTTCTCCTATGCCCCTCCCCCAGTCCAATGATAGAGAGATCTACCTCCCTTTCATCTGATCACAGTCTATCAGGCCTCATCAGGACTGGCTTCTTTGTCTTCCTCTGAGGACTGGTAAGGATGTTCCCCCCTCAGGTGGAGGTGATCAATGAGCTAGCCCATGATTTCATGTCAGAGATGGTCCCTGTTCCTATTACTGGGGAACTCTCTTGGAGACTGAGCTGCCATGGGCTACTTCTGTGCAGGGGTTCTAGGTTATCTCCATGCATAGTCCTTGTTTGGAGTATCAGTCTCAGAAAAGACCCTTGTGCCCAGATTTTCAGTGGCAGTAATAAAGTAATAATATCCCGTTTTCAAGGATCCAATAAATGTAAAGATACTTTATAATATTTCAGAGACCTTAATAAAAACTGAGGTTCTCACTTGGACCAGGCCTGGGCTGTGGCCCTTTCAATGACTTAAAGCTGGACCAGTGATATCATACAGTGATAGATATAATTTGCTGATCTGTATTCCTCTTCCTCCCCTTCCCTCTCTCCCCTTTCCTCCACTCTCATATTTCTGTATTAATGCACTTATTTCAAATAAAGTATCTGTGTAACTTATGTGTTTTCCACATTTACATAAGATAGACTACTTAGATAAGGAGATGTTGAAAAGCATATAAATCTCTCCTGGAGATAAAAGGGAGTATGTATTTACTACATATGCTTTTGGAAGGATTGTTCTGTTCTATTAAGCATGTATTCTGCTAACTCATCAGGCACATTTGCCACATTGCTCTGCAAGATGATTGTCAACTGGAAACAGTTAATTGTCTCTCTCCTTGAGTGTATTGACACAATACTCCAGAATAATTCCTGATCAAAGTCTAGCTTCTACTGAAATTGGAATAAATAACAGGCAATTTTCACTAAATAAAAACTAGAATTTTCTACAGCAGATTATTTACTTGGAGACAAAGCAATTGTAATGATAGAAGAAACTAAAATGTGTCTAGGAAGGAGTGCTGGCACACCCGTCTAGTCCTGAGGCAGGTCTTGGTGAGTTCAAGCCTTGGGTACATAGCAAGTTTAAGGCCATCCTGGTCTACATAGTAAGACTCTGTCTCAAAATTGTTTCTTTTAATTATTTCACAGTAATTGCACCATCTTGCAACGTATTGAAATAGATCTGACTGTATAATGTTTCTTGGGAGATAACACAGTCATCTATGTTGGTGTCAAATAACTGCTCTTTGGTGCAGCGTGGTAATTCTTACATTTGGATAACACGGAGGAATATTTTATCTCATTCTGTAATGCTGTAGTGCCCTAACTTGTTTCTAGCTGCAGAAAAACTAGTCTTTTGTACAATGTTAGTGTTCTAGCTATAGCTTGTAGATGCTACATGACATTGAAACCATGATTTCAAACTTACCCATCACCATTGCTCTATTTCTTATTCAGCTCATCATCAAGTCACTGAATTATTTTGTTTACTGTGGAAGTGGTTCACACTGATGAGGGAGTCATTCTCCTGTGAATTATAAGGGTACCCTCCTGTCAGCCTTTCCCGTATATTTTACTCCTTTCCTGACTGCTGCTGGCTGCTGCAAGATAAATATTGTTATGCAAAACCATTTGGCTGTGTCCATCACCAGCGAGCTGTATATAGGGCAACACATTCAGCTTGTTTCATTTGTACTGGAGGATGGCTTTCTGAAAGGTCAGTGGTGACATCCATCTGAATGTGTAACTGCAGCCTCCACAAAATAAGTCGTTTCTTACCTCATCAAATGGTCTCTAAGGTTATTAGAATTCTATGAGAGCCTTTATTTTATCACACTAATCCTATTCTCAGTTTGGGATATACATTCAAAAAAAAAAAAAGATTTCAGGAAATAATTGGTTGACCACAATACTAGGAGCAGCAGACAAAGCAGCCAAAATGTGGAAATGACCATGGAGCTGAAGCATTTTGTCATGATCCTAGTATTATTATAATTATTAAAGATGATAAAAAGATTAATTATGAAAAGTTATCCATTTATTTAAGGAAAGAAACAGCACGTTATGATATGTGCATACTTCTTCACGCTGACATTTATGTTAATTATGTGTACTATACAAATAAGCCTGAATTATGACAAATTGAATAATGTAGCACATACACACCATTACTCCTGGGTGAAAATATTAGTGAGTGACTTTTTATAAATGCAGAATTTCAGGCAAAGGCCATCAAGACAATGGCTAGAATAGAGTAAAATTTTCATTTACATAAACTGTGGGTTCATAAAACCAGTGGTAAGAAGAATGGCCTGGGTTCTATGACACAAAATAAGAGCGGAGGTGCTGTTCAAGAACCTGTCTGAAAATGCGTTCTACCACTGTCCGTGACCCAAACAGGAAATGCTCTATATGAACAAGTCAGCCCAAGTTGATGCTTGATTCCTTGAAGAACAAAATGCACCTGGGTGGCTGAATGGCTCCATCACCAGTCTTGACAGTCATTGGAAGGGTGGAAGAAGTCAATTAAAGTAACAGGGCAATCAGAGATCCTTACATATGAAGAAAAGGGCAAACTAAGGGCTGCATTGTTACGGGAAGGAATTGACGGGGATTCTTCTTCCCCCTTGGCCATCACTACAGTGATTAGGTTTGGTGTGGTTGCTGCTTTGCAGCTCCTACTGAGCGGGTTCTGATGGAAATCATTTAGGAATGGTGCGTGGATGGTGCCTCCGTGTTTAGTTGTTGGTTTTAAAGTGCAGCACCTGGTCTTTCATGGTTCTCCCAAGTACCTGTCCTTATGCTGAGTTCTTGAGGCTTTAGATTCCACTTCCCTGCCCCCAACCCACATCCTTTCTCTTCCCAATTACCTTTACACGTAAGCTTTTGAGCTTCCCTGTCATCAGATGCTGGGTTAATAATTTATGTTGC